TTTTTTTTTTTTTGGTTTTCTGATTCGCCGTTTTTGGTGTGTTTCGTACGATTTTATTGATTTTAGTTTGAGTTGCATTTCGTTTTCTGATGGTGTGTCTGAATTGTGTGTTGGTGCGGTGCGGATTAGATTACCAAAAAAAGTCTGAGGATCTCGTTGACGTTTGTTCAATATGGATTGGTGAACGTGTTCATTGTAGTTCGATTGGCTCAATTGTTGAATCTGAAGTATTGAAATTTGTATAGTTTCGACGGATTGAGATGAGATCTTTCGGATGAAGAGTTTTTGTTGGTTGGATGGAATTGCTCCGATGTAGGATGAATTGTGTAAATAACTGATTGAAATGATTTTTGTGTGGTTGACGAAGCTGCTGATTTGAGGGGGAAACGATTGCTTGTTAAGTATAGAGTGAATGTATTTTGAAGTTTGAAGAATAGAAATGAATTATGGTTGAATGGAGAACTAACTAAAACCGAAGCCTCATTTTAGTTATAGAGGTTTAATGGCAGAGCAATAAAATGATTTAAAATATGTTGGAAAGTGAAGTTGAAAATAGCGTACAGTTGATTGCTTACCTTGACATCAGCAGCTTTGCTTTAAAAAAGTTCAACTTCTGAAGATAAGAGTGGTTGGGTGGGGAAAGAATTTTCAAAGCGTGAAATAATGCTTCTGTGAACGTGAATTTTTCACAAAGTTGTGTAGTGTCTGGCAAGTTTTAACAGATTTGACTTAATTTGTGCTCTGTTTATCTGCCTGGCTTCATGTAGGTGATGGAACTTATGCTATGAAGAAAGTTCTCATTCAAAACAGTGAGCAATTGGAGTTGGTGAGGGAGGAAATTCGTGTTTCATCTCAGTTTAGCCATCCTAATTTGCTTCCTCTTCTTGATCATGCAATCATTGAAGTCAAGGTAATTATTCTTTTAAATTTTATGGAAAAGGCTGCAGAGTCAGAACTTTATGAGTGACTATATTCTGAACAAGAGTACTGCACATGGGTGGCCATATCTCTGTAGAAGTGCCTCATGTTTTTTATGCTGTAGAAGGAAAATTATGTTAAAAAAACGTTTGATTTTACTGGATAGCGGGTTCCTAGATGTGAGTTGCAATATTTTGTTAGAAGTATATTGTTGGTGGTCAGAATTGGATTTTCCTGGTCTATCATGTAAAAATGTGTAATAGAAGAGAAAAATGATTTTGAAGAAAGGACTTGAGTAGCCAGCACCTTGTGTTTTTTGAGCAATCTAGCAGGCTACTTTTTTCACCTTACTTCTAACATATTATATTGAGCCACATTTATCTAGTATAAACCTACACTGCATTTTCTTGTGTTCATCTGATTGGCTGATGACCTTACATTTTTGGTTCTATGATCAGCCCTCACAAGATCAATCCTGGAAACATGAAGCATACTTATTGTTTCCTATCCATTATGGAACACTATTGGACAATGCTAAAGCTACGAAAGCTAAGGAGTTCTTTTCTACCTCTGATGTACTACAACTATTTCGTCAGGTTGTTATGGAAAAATATTTTGTGCCTCCATTTGTAGAAGTCTATTTATTTACACTTATGAAATAGCAAATCATACAAATTTACCAAATATCAAAAGATATTTGTTTACATCTCTGCTTAAATGTTTGAAGGAACATTTTCTGTTGATGGTTTTCAGGTATTTTATCTCACACTGATGCACATACCACAAAGCTTTCCTTTTCTGTCATTGAAACATCTGTCTGACTACATTGTTATTGTTGAGCATGCCATGTAAAATATTGCATATGTTAATATTTAAACACAAAATTTATAGCTGTGTTTTCTTCTAAAGATGAGGTATGATTTACTGGTAAAATGTGTATTTGCAGCTTTGCGCGGGGCTTAAGCATATGCATACGTTTGACCCTCCATATGCACATAATGATGTCAAACCGGGCAACGTCCTTGCGACATACAGGAAAGGTCAGTCACCTTTAGCGATATTGATGGACTTTGGAAGTGCTCGTCCTGCACGAAAGCAAATTCGATCACGTTCAGAAGCATTACTGTTGCAGGTTCTTTTCATAACTTCGATGTTATGGTTGCTTTCTCATCAGTTACTGTATTAGTCTGTAAATGCTTAAACATTTTTATAAATCATGAATATGCTTATCGTTCTAACTATAATTGCATTGTTCCCATAAAGACCAAATAAAAAAAAAAGAAAAAAAAAATATAATAGTTGTCAAGAAGAATTTTGTACCCTGAAGGAGTGTGAAAACTGAAAATTAACTGTGATATCATTTTGTATTGTCAACAGCCACACCTTTTCTATTGTTGGAAGCTGTATAAAGCTTTCAAGCCATAATTTCAATTTCAAATATCTCGACGCTTTTTAAGCTTGCAATACCAGTTATTTTGCATCATCTGAAAAATGTTCCATTTGGTCTCCTGGATGTTGGTTGCATAGGAATGGGCTTCCAAACACTGCTCTGCTCCTTTCCGTGCTCCTGAATTATGGGATTGCCCAAGTCATGCTGACATCGACGAGAGAACTGATATCTGGTCGTTGGGCTGCACTTTGTACGCGATCATGTAAGAACTGTTTCCTTGTTATAAGGAGTCTTTACTTCCTTATTTCTGAAGAATCTTGTGTAGTTTTCAATTTTGTTCTCGTCCATGAAGTCAGTGTGAATATAACTTTTTTCCCCGGAACCATATAAACCGTTTGGTCCTTACCCTGGATGATCTACTATAATGGTCTCTCAATATTTGATACATTTGCTGTAATTTGTAAAATATATGATACCATCTTCTTCTATACCAGTAGTACAGAAAATGACATGTACTAAGGTTATAAAATTGTGTTTCAGTAAGCATGGCATAGTAGAAAAATAGTTGTAGAGTTTGGATCGAGATGTGTAGAGACAGAAAATTTCCGGCACTATTATAGGAGCATCCACCCGAGTTGTGTATTCGTTTGGGATTTCAAGTGACATTTTGAGGCTTTTTAGACTTGGGACTTTTTAAGATTTTCAGATTTTGAAGGAATACTATGAAATCTTAAGTTTGGATGTAAGATTTGAGTGAGATTTCGTACATGGTTTTTTCTTTTGAAATCTTAGCAAATTTTAAAGACTTAACAAGTCCTAGTCTCAAATAAGTTAAATATCTCATGATTTTGTAAGACTATAATATATCAAATGAATACCTCAAAAACTTTTGAAAGTCTTAAAAAGTCTAAATCAAATACAGCAGGATTTCTAAAGTCTAGAAAAATCCCAAACGAATACACCCCATAATATTACAGAATTTCATCGGCATCAACTGCCACTTGAAACTGATTGTTTTTAACTATTAAATTGGCCTAGGGCTTTCAACTTTTCAAGTTGGGAGGTTCACTTGTGTTAGCAATTTGCATATGATGCTCGTTGACTTGGCTCGGTTCGCCTTTTCTTGTTTTCAGCTCGACTTGCATGATAATCGACATATTATTCGATATAAGTGCTAAAATACGAACCTAATCCATTGATACTTTTTTCTGAAGGTACGGTGAATCTCCTTTCGAGTACGCGCTTGGAGAATCTGGAGGCAGCTTACAGCTGGCCATTGTAAATGCCCAAGTAAAGTGGCCAGTGGGTCCCGACCCTCCTTACCCGGAGGCCCTTCACCAGTTCGTAAAATGGATGCTCCAGCCTCAAGCCACCGTTCGGCCATGCATTGATGACATCATAATTCACGTGGACAAGCTGATCTCAAAATTTTCAAGTTGAAGCAGGGAATTCGAAAACCCGAATGTTCAAGATTGTTATAGTTTTTGGCACATCGGTTATTATAGTTGCTTGATATTTGTGCGGACTGCGTGAGTCTAATTTATACGGAGTGTTTCTCATAAGTGTTACAATGTGCTGGGAGGAAAATTTGGCTGCAGCTTTTGCCTATTTGATACAGGAATTTGCAGAGTTCGTTTAATTGTGTCAACCTTTTTTGTTATCTGTACTGTACATGTTTTCAAGTCTACAAATCTCATATGCTGCAGATTTTTCTTGGACTCAAATTAGTAGTGAATATTGATGGAATTAAAAGGCCTAAACTCACTTAAGAAGAGTCTTAAGAGATACCTTAAAGATTGGAATATCTCCAAAGATTTAGCGGTGGATAGGAGCGCTTGGAAGCTAGCAATCAACGTGCCAGTCTGCCAGAACTGTAACTTTTGCTCCTTTCTCTTTTGCTCCAATCTCTTCTTTTTGTTTTTGAGTCGTTTTTGTGTTTTCTCTTACCATTGGTTATCTTGGGTTTCATCTCTAGTCTACTTCAACTTGTTTGGAACTAAAAGGCTATGTTGTTGTTGTTGTATTGATGGAATTAAACTTACTAATCCAGATTCTGGAATAGCATTATGTCATACCCCTATCTGTGCATTCATCATAACCAAATAAGATATACCATTTCATGAAGGAAACTCTAATCCTATCTGTGATTCATCAGAACCAAACAAGATACGAAAAAAAATTCTAATCGGTTCCGAATTGTGCTGGTGTCGGATCAAACATACGCATTAATTTCTTGGTACATACCAACACTGTGTATCTGATTTTACATCCACGTGGGCATTTGCCCCACATTATCGTCATTCATGTGGGCCCCACCTAATCCCACACGAGTAAGGATGTGTGATCCGGGATAAAAACCGGGGCTGCATCCCAACAATTTTCAAAGAGGGATCGATAGAACTGCAAATATTCACCAAGTAGTCGTACCGTGCAGATTTTCAAAACTCGAGATCACACCATAAATTGCAGTTTTTCATGCTTCAACTTCTATCTGGTTCTCTCTCTAAGTTGGACTCATAAATAATCTTTTCACAGAAGCCACTGGATCATCATCCACCTGCAGAATTGTGCGCCTTAAATAGCTTACACTTACAGTACATCAAACTTCAAATGATTTTTGTGGGTTAGATTTTGTTCGCAATGCCATGATAGGCGCCCGATTTACTCATGTATTTAAAAAGAAAAAAAGAAATGAATCAAAAAAAAAAAAAAACTTCTAACTTTTAGGTCCTTTGCACAAACAATTTAAATAAAATAAAAAGTAAATAGGAAATACACAAATAGATACACAAAAAGGGATTCACAACTAAAATTTCAGCACATCCTTTTGTTATAATTCAAATGACGAGTTTATATTTCAGTTACCTCGATCAAGGTAGATGAAGGCGGTTTGTCGAGCTCCTTGTGGTCCACTAAAGCAGATAATGTCTGTTGCCATCCAGGAGAAAATTTTCCACTCGACATAATCCAGGGACAAAAGTACCTGTGCTGCTTGATTGGATCGAATTCCTTTGTTTTGCTAGTAGGCGATAGTTTCTCACTTTCTCCTGTAAGAATGAGATAAACACCTTTATCCTTCGCGTAAAAATATTAAGACTAGGTAACTGAACAGCAGAAATTCAACACAGAAGTAACTCAGTTACAATTTTACTTGTATCCGTATATATAAACCAAATATCGCTTCACATCAAACATAGAGGACATAAAATTCCACAACAAAATGCAAGACAAAAGTGAAAATCTACTTAACATTAACATATTAGAAAAATGATAAGCGTATGAAGCGCAATGTTTCATCTTGATCAACAAGCTTTTATGATAAGAACATTTATAAGTTAATGGCCTGAAATGCAACTGCTCAACAAACACAAACACAATATCCAAATTAAAAACCACTTAAACTGAATAAAAAAGGCATAAATTCACTTACTTATGCTCAACGAAACAGGCTTATCCTTTACAGATGGCCCTTCTCCATGAATGTCCAGAGAGTTATTTGGATACTTACTGTTGTGTTCACAATTTTGATCGGCAGTTCCTTCTTCCGAGATACTTTGACTTTCTAAGGACATTGTTTGACCCTCCACTTGATGAACTTTCTGAATAGCTAATTGATCGTTCGATCCCTTCTCCATTGCAAGCCGAGCTCTCAAATTAGGCCCGATTATCGGTAAAGATATGGTTGCCCCATAATTCAGCATTGCAGGCGGAGGTCCACCGGCAATTGTGGAACCTGATGAAGTAGTAAAAGGGGCCGTGACATTTTTACTCGTAACTTCTGTAACGCCTACGAATCTTAAGTACTCCAGAGGCTGTGGGGTAGTGCAAAAATCCCATAACCCAACATTCGCGCCACATAAGTTGCAATCAAGCACAACTGAACTAGGATCGAGCTTGAGATCACGAAAAGTGTTGGTATCCTCATTAGTACACAGAGAATAGACGCTAATTTTCTTTATTTGTCCTGCTGTGACTGATATATTGGCATCTCTAATGAGAGGAACTTGCCCATCCTTGAAGTCAACTTTATAAGGCAATATATGAGGTTCCCACCCGAATAGACTCGTGAGCTTCAGCGCCTGCAATTCCGTAAGTAATTTCTTCAACTTCCTACTTAGTGAGTTATATAACTTGATAAGAGAAAGATAATCTACACATACACACATAACTAAACTATGTGTGTGTGTAGAGAGAGAGAGAGAGAGAGCTTTTCAATGCATTCTACTCTCATAATTAAACTATCGTGTAGAATCTGCACACACACACACATATGTGTGTGTGTAGAGAGAGAGAGAGAGAGAGAGAGAGAGAGAGAGAGAGAGAGAGAGAGAGAGAGAGCTTCACAATGCTTTCTACTCTCATAATTAACCTGCCGTGTAGAACTGATGTGTCGAGCCATGAAAATAGAGGGGGGGAAAAAAAGAATCAACATGGCTTCAACATTCTGAAAAGGTATTCAGAAATATTCTGTCCCCAGAGGCAGGCGAAGAATTTACAATAGGTCAAATTTTGCATTTGTAGATTATTTTCTGCCAAACCTGGTAATACAAGTCGGACGAAATTGTCTCAGGTACGTGTTCCGGAAGCTTTGTCCTAGAACTTTCGAGAGGTTCTTGGTACGCTGAAGTTGAAGACTGTTCTAGAAATTGCTCGAGCTTAGAGCTTCCCATGTCAGCAATGGCCACAGGCGAAATAACTGGAAGTGCTATCAGATTTGATAGAGCAAGAAAGCATTTTTTGTAATTCTCAATCAACTCAGTGCTTGATACAATCGGAAACTGAGCAAGTTCTTCCCCGCACGCATTATTAATCCAAGGGCACAACAATTTGTGCCCGCTTTCTAGCTTCAGGCTGAATACAGCAGCAGCTTTCTCAACTGATTGTACATTGACAAAAAGATAGGGGAAAAATAGAGAATCACGATTCAGGATTCAAGCTACATGTGTAATTGCTAAAAATAACTTCTTAGAGCTTGCTCGGATACAAATTTTTCCAAAAAAATCCAATCATTTTTAATCAGTCACTTTTTTTTAACTCAAATCTAACTCAACTTTAACTCAACACCACTATCCTCAATAGTATAAATATAATTAAATAATATCCTTCAATCATTCTTACACATTACATCAACTCTACTCACATAATTTTAACTAACCATCAATTTACATCATTTCTCTCCTACTTTTACATTATATCAACTTTAATTATTTTATTTTAAATATTATTTTCATATAAATCAAAATCTCACTAACAACTAAACATACCACTTTTTTCAAAACTAACCATACCAAAGCAAAAAGTCCAAACAAAAGCAAACAATTTTTTATCCAAACATCCCATTAACCTTAGAAAAGAAGTACCAATAATGCTATGAAAGAATAACTAATTGTGGATAAAATACACTGCAAGAGAATTTTTGACTCGTAAAAGTATTGCTTGCCTTGTTGTTGTGTCCAAACAGATGGAGTAGAAAAAAGGATACGCGCATCGCAAGAGGCACATGCAATGGTATCCATGTCTATGTTAATCCAACCCCTCCTAGCACATTCCAAGGGGCTCACCACCTGAAATAATATATTACATTATTCCTAATTAAGAAATCACTAGTATTAATACCCATGTACAACATGGGTGTTGAGTTAATGAATATATGTGTAAAGTTATTTATGTCTAACTCCAAACCTAACTCCAAACCTAACTCCAGAGCAAAAATAATATAAAAACAACATCACGAAGCATAGATTTTCGCCATGTCAGCATCCGAAGCGTGAGAATCTGCCACCTAGGCTCAACATGTTTTGAATTAATATATAGGGAGGGATATATACAAATCATATACTATATATACAAATGTGAACCCTACATGTTATAGAACCTTAACCACGACTAAGTTGCCAAGAGAACCCCATAACAGAATTCAACACATACTTCCTCAACATCACATTTGATCTTAAAAGGTCAAATATTTAAACACTAAACAGAAGGTAAATACAAAACAATGGTAAAATGTAACTTTACAAAATGCTTGGCAGTTTAAAGCCTACGAGCATTGACAAATCAGCTTTAGCAATTTCCTCAAACTTTTACAAAATGCATTGAAGATTTCAACCAACCCACGAACCGGAAAAAGGAAAAAAAAAAAATACAAAAGATTTAAAGACGAATACAAACCTGTGGCTTTGCGAACCAGGTAGTCGACTTGAATGTGGACAACCTCCTAAAGAAATCATCACGGTCCCAAGGCCTGCAGGCCGAGGCTTGAGCTGGCTTAGCCGAACCCGACAAAAGGCTTTCTATTTTCTCACCCATTATGGAAGAATGAGGGCGCTTTCGGCCACTCAATGTCTGAACTCCACTACTAAAGCACACGCATCAATAAGCACAACATAGAACAAAAAACAACATTAATACTAACAAGGGATTAAGCACCCCACAACTAGAAAACGCTTGAAATTAAGCCAGCGAACAAGCCCATCTTCAGAATCAATACTATTTTAAGAACAAGATCCAAACAAGAAACGTAATTTGCAAAAAAAAAGAGGGAAAAAAAAATCGACCTTCGGCCTTCGAGGGCACATTATGAATCGAAATTCACTATATCACGGCAAAAAGAGAAGATCCCTATAAATACCTGAAGTTTTGGGAGGTGGGCTTTGGTTTTGGAGGAGGATGAAAGAGCTTCTTCATAATTGTTTCAAACCTTTTTTCAGATTCTTCAGCCATCTCTGGTTGTGTTCTCCAGTCTCTGTGCCGACCGTGAACGAGGTGAAGGATTTATTTATATCAATTTTTGTTGTAAGTTTTGAGAATAGGAAAATGACCATAAAGCCCTCGCCTAATTCAAATAAAGGGTTGATAATCTCTATCATCCTCGACCAGCTATATTTGGTAAAACTAGCTGATAACTTATAAGTAAGTTTATAACTTATCAGTAATATTTTAGCTTACAGTTTTTGAGTTATAGCTGAGTTGATAACTTATAAGCTAGCTTATAGCTTATCAGTAATTTTTTAACTTATAGATTATGAGTTATAGCTGATAAGCTAGCTTATATGATATAAGTGTTTGGTAAAATTAGCTGATAAGTTAGCTGAAATAAAAATTCAACTGGCTTATTTGAAAAAACTATCTAAGGAAGCTTATCAAATAAGCTCGAGTTTTTTTAAAAAACATGTCCTATCAAACGAGACTTATTTAAATACATGGAGTTTATAAGCTAACCAAATAAACTATAAATTATCTTATTTGCTTACCAAACATAGCAATGGTTTTGCATCCTAAATTCTATCTCGATAAAATGCAACGTCAAACCTTTTTGTAAATTTGGTTTTTCAGTTAGAAGTTCAATTTCTTTGAATAATGCATTTTAAACAATAAAATACACTAATTGATCAATCTCTGAGTCTTTTGCTTATGAGGATTTTGAAACTAGTAAAAAAATACACGTAAAATCTTAGTATTATTATTTGTAATATCTCTCACATCTTAACTATACGTGTATCCGTTTTTCAGATAATACATGGTCAAGATGTGTGGAAATTATTAATATTCGTGAATTTCATGATTATATTTTACCATAAATATATTATAAGTAGCAAACATAAAAAGAAAAAAAAAAAAAAGAAAAAATACGTTATTTTAACTTCATGGCCCATGGATTTAATAAAGATCCGAGTCAACTTATGGTTGGGACTAAATGGGTTAACAATGCAGTCCACGGGCTTCAGTTGGGCCTTAGATGAACCTCAAAAGGGCTTAAAGAACTAAAAGTAAAAGAAAGTAAAGGAGATTAGGACACCTATTTCCTTTTTAGAATTTAATTTACATTAATTAATAGGACTTATTAATTACTTTTTAGAATTTAATTTACATTAATAGGACTTATTAATTATGTCAAAATGGTTATTTTTTGGGTGTTGTTAAATCAGAAATTCTATGGTGCCCATATGGGCACCATAGAATTTCTGGTTGTTAAATACCGCCCCCTTTTTAATTATTACCGTCCCAAAAAAACATTTTTACCCTTTTTAATATAAAAATATATTTTTTTTTTTTTTGGGCTGGCCGGCCTT